GGTCCGCGCTCCGCTCGCCTTCACCTTGCCGTGGTGCCAGGGTGAACTTGTGCCCGCCCCAGCTCTACCTTGGGGCACTTGGGGTAGTAGCGCCCCCTTAGTGTCTATGGGGCGTTTGCTGAAAAGCAGCGCCGTGGGTTATATCCTGAGGGAATAGGGCTTGGGAAAGGCCTCAGAGTTTCATGCTCTGGGCCAAGAAAGTCTCTGTGCAGCAAAAGCCTAGGGCAGGAGAGCAGTTTAGAGCATGCCTTCCCCTGCACAGAGCACTTTGCTGCACCCCCCTGCACAGAGAGGTATGTGAATTTAGCTCTTTTTCTGGAGAGCCTTGAGTGTCCTTATTGTACTTCTACAGCATTATTGCTCTAGGAATAAAAGCATTGCAGTAAAGATAGTTTTCTTCTGTACGTTTTTGATTTTTTATTGGAAAAAAAAAGTGGTTTATGGGGCAAAAAAGCGGGAAAGGAAGCCTTTTTGTCCTAAATACTTTTCTTGGGTGACTCAGACTTACTGCTTGGATAAGAGAGAGAGAGATAGGAATTTCAGAAGAGTCTGTTAGGGGTATGGATAAAACCTTTTCCTGGGGGAGCACCTGTAACTTACCCAATGCAGAGGCTGCTGAGCAAAGTGAGGCCCTTGCAGGTGGATACCTGAAAAAAATTATTGGTTGCAATAGATAGCATTAAAAATAAACTGAAGGCAGTAGGACGCACTTAAGCTTGCTTTGATGCTCAGGTTGCCTTTTATAGAGAACTTTACTAAATACCTGTGCAATGGAGAAGAGAGCAGTTAAGTTGTACTTAAGCAGCTTTCTTAAAAATCATGATCTAGAGCGGAATTTAAAAAGTTGCATGCTTGGAAGTCAAGAAATGCTAAAAATAAGAATGCCTTGCATCTTTGATTACTTGTGCTTATGTATGCTAATAGAGTATTTTATAATTTATATAAAAATATACAGCTTTATTTTGTTTATTATACTTCTATTAGTCTTCAGCCTCATTTGTTGTGAGGCAGGTTGTTGTGTGGTGAATAAGGAACTCAGCTATAATGAATTAAGTGAACTAAGGAAATCAACAATGGAAGCATGGGGAATAATGGACTTTTTTTGTGATTTTTATTTCTCCCTTGATTTGAATCTTCATTTGAATCTTGATGTATAGCTTTTATAGACTTTTAATATTTTAAATTGGTTAGTTTTAGAACTGAATAGTATTATTTCTTGTGTGCATCTTCCCTGGCACCGTTGAAGTTTTTATTGGAGGAAGGAGGAGCCCTTGTGTGTGGCCGCAGGGTGGTGCTGCGCAGTGTGGTTTGGATCACTGCTTGTGGAACAGCCGTCTCACCCGTGTCTTTCATGGCTCCAGATGGGGATATTTCCACGTATACATTAGTGTATAGTGTATTTCCGTGATGTATTTTCTTTCATGTAGCAACTGGTTAAGTTAGGAGAAGTCCTAACAGCTTTACAATAGGGCTGATGGCCACAGAGAATTTGCAACAGCTTAAATGATACTCCAGTCTGTGTTTAAAAGGGGATTAAAAAGATGTATAAATAGCTTTTAACCTGACTCTTTTGAGCATTATTAGTAAAGTTAGTTAACAGTCATTAAGTGCTTGGAAGTGTGGAGCCCTGGTACAATAAGAAACATTCAGGTGATCACTTTGGAATTTTCCTAGGCAAATCCTAATTTTCCTTCAGGTTTGTAAGTTTTTTGGTGTTTAGTTACAGTGTGGGCTCAGAGTTTCTTTGTGAGTGTATCCTAGGTCTAAAATCTTGAAAAAGAAAGTGGAAACTTTGGCAATTGTTTTGCTTCGTTAGCAGAGATATTAAGGAACAATCTTCCAACTCTCTCCATACAACTGCTTGTTTCAGCTCTTGCTTGCAGATAGATTTCTCATATCATTTTTTTTTTTAGAAATTCTGGTCAATGCTACCATTAAAGCTTTTAGTGGAAAGGGCTAATAAAATCCTGTCACTCATGTTCCCTATTGAAAAATGCATTAAGCAGCTAGTGGGTCAGAGCTGCTAAATGTATTAGCACAAGAAAAAGCATGAGTTGTTTGCTTTTCTCATAGGAAGCAGACATTTTAACAAAATTGTCCACAAAAGTATACAAGACTTTAAAATGCTCTAAAAATCTAGTAGCTGGGACCTGCAAGGTTTGCTTACACAGGCGGAGCTCTTATGGCTAATGAAATTATGTGAAGTTGTAAGGGTCCACCTAAGTGAATTGGTTAGGAGAAGGAAAGTTTCTGTTTTAATCAGTGTTTTTAATAACAGAATAATTACTGTCAGCTGTGTGAAAGGTCTGTGATCTTGTCCTTCTGTGCCTGCATTTCCTCCTATATGCTGATATTTATTAACATTATTATGTTAATATAATAATTATTATATGATAATTATTAACATTTTAATCACAGTTACTTGCACTAAGCAAAAATGATAGTGGTACTTCTGCCCGGAAATTCACATATGTTCATGATGTAACTGTTGGCCAAAATAATTAAAACTAATGTGTAAGGCAGTATGAAGTCTTTTACATGGAAGACCATGAGAATTAGCCCATATCTGAAACAGAGTTTACAGCTGCACAGAGTTACCACAGCTGTGCAATGTATTCTGCTATGGAAGTCGGTGGTATGTCTAACAGTTTACACCTAAAATGGAAAGCACCAACCCTTTCCTACCTTCAAGAGGAGGCACAAATTTCCTTTTCTGGTGTGGTATACAATGTTACAGGGGTTGTTCTGGGTTAGATTCCAACACTGACTTGGCTGTGGCCATATGTAAACAACTTCACAGTAAATCAAGATTTCATTCCTTTGTCTTCCCAAAGCATGAAGTTTTAATTTATGTAGTGATGGCTGCTTAGTTACTAAATAATTTGTGAAATGTATGAGTTCAAAAGTGGAAATGGGGAAAAAATTGAGGATGTTTCTTGGCTAGGTGCGTATGAAGTCTTTCAGAAGCCAGAAATAGGCTATTGAGAAAAGATGGTAATAACAGTAGGAATGCTAAACTGCTAAGTAGGAGTGAAATCACTTCTCAGTGTGGTGTGTACTGGAGTTTGGCTCTTACGTTTTGTAGGTACATTAGCAGAATTACTCTTTTGGAGATGTTCTTGCTTTGTCTGCTTTGCCGCTTTCTCTCCCCTTCTTTCCAGTCACCTGCAGTATACTGTATTTCTGTGAGAGGGCTAGCTATGATCTTAAAGTCTTTACCATATTTTTATCTTTTTCAACAACTGAAATTGTAGATAAATTGGACCTGTATCTTGGTTGATTAGTACTGATGAGACAAATTAATCTGGGGAGAACCAACATGACTTATCCTCCATTTCAGACCCCAATGCTCTTGTATAGGTGTTGGTGACTGCCTGCAGCATGATGAGTTAGTTCTGCCCACCAGAGGCAACTGCACCTGTGGTTTCTAGATAGCAAAAGTAAGTGTTATTACAGTCAAAAGTGCTTTTTCTCTGGCGTCCGCTATGTGTTATTGTCTTACTAATTCTGCACTTTTGTTCAGAGTGTATACAAATGCCACAGAATTATAATCGCTTTATTTTCTTGGTCTGAGAAAATATGAATCTTATATTTTGTTTTAATTGTGTCCTTTAAATTAAAGCAATTTTATAGTTGCTTTACCATAATTGTTGATGAGGAAAAAATAGATAAATTGTGAATAAAAATAATAAAAAATAGTATCTTTAGCCAAATATCTGATATTATGAATTTCTATTAGTTTTTTTTGTTGCAAACATAATATTTTACAGTATTTTGAAGAGATCTTCAGGGGAAAAAAAAATGCTTCCAGCCCAGTTAATATGCAGTGGGCATATATACTGATGTGTATCTTAATACATGTACTATGTTTGTGTTTGTTTTTCCTTTCAAACTCTTTTTTTTTTTCAGCTGAATATGCATTTAAATTACCAGTTTGCATTCTGGTAGGGGATTGGAGGAGCTCTGAAAACACCTGTTAAGTACTGATAGGAAGTTCCTTTGTAGTTTATATGCAGCTGTGCCTTTCACCATTAAAAGAGAGAATGTGCCAGGCCTTGGCTCATCATTCTGAGATACAGTAAAGCACTGAGCTACCTGTTCTGTGATGAACGGCACGCAGAATATTTCCTAGTGGCTCCATGTAGAGATGAATACCTAGGTCTTGACTCGCAGCTTTATTAGCTTATTAGTGGCAACAGTTCAAGTGAAATTATAGCTATTATACTTCATTATAGGCACTAAATAATTTACTTATGAAAAAATCCTACTGACAGCTCTGTCTGCCAGCAACCATTTTTTTGTGTGTATGGATATTCAGGAGAACATAGGGAAGAATAAATTATTCTTAGTAATTTAGTGAGTTGAATTGCATGAGATGGGGAATAAAAGCTTCTCAACTTGAGAAAAGGTTCCATTTTTTTTTCTGTCAGAGTTGTGTGGAAAAGCTACTAAAATAGCAGATATGTGATCTCATTTCTGTTTTTTCCATTGCTTAAAAAAGAGTAATAAAAAATTGAGAACTCCTGTTTAATACATATCTGAATGTATTTTTCTGTAGAAATGGAGTTTGTTTAACTGTGTACTCTGCCTACCTGTTCCTTCTTCCCAACTGGCCATTTTAAATTTTAAATGAAGAGTAGGAATTGAGAGAAATGACCTGTGAGTCTTGTGAAAGCTCATGAGTGAATAGCTG